TTTTCATCAGGGGTCGGCAACCTTTTGTCGCTCGCGGGTCACAATTAAGGGTAGCAAGTCATTGGCGGGCCGCACATATTTTTAGAAAGTTGAAAACCAAACGGATGATATATATATACTTTTTATAATAAAAATCAATGAGTCGGAGTGTTTCAATACTAACGTTGACCCACGTTTACTGGTGTTTCTGACACAGAAGGAAAACTGTATACGTACCAGTAGCTTTTGTATTTATTAATTTGGGAATTCATATACCGGCGTCTTATCTATTCCGGAATATCAAGTCATAATGCTAGCAGACATAGCACAGAAATTGATTACATCAAAGCGGAACACATTATTCCGCTCCTACGTGGAAACGGAACAGGGAATTTGAACTGAAATCATATCAGCTCTTGCTGTTCGGAATAGCGTGTTAGTGTTTGTCTTCAGCGAATCGGTTTTGTTGTCATAAATAGTCAAAGTTTCGATAGAGATAGCGAACAGTCGTATATTATAAAAGATGGTATTTGCATTTTAAAAATCCCAAAAAAACCTAATGCAAATATGATGCCACAAAGCCAAGGGCTTGTTCGGGATCTATGACATCATAGTGTTCCTCTGGCCATAGGGCATATCAATTTGTATGGGCTGCTGTTAGACGTACGGTCAGGGTTGCCATATTGGCTTTTTTAACGCCAAATTTGCCATTTTTGGCTTTTTTCAAACGCGTTTGGCGTCAGAATTTCCGTTTGGCTTTTTGGCGTTTTTTTTGGCTTTTTTCAAGTCTATTCTAGTGTCTATTATTAAAATCATATGAAATACAATATTTAGTGTGTAACAACTGAACAATGGCCGGGTCTATTACCTGTACTTAGCTACTTAACATTAGGATTTCCTGGAGCATCGATTTCCTTGTTTGTTACATTAACTCTTAACCATATCCAATAAGTGCAGTTTCTGCAGCTGCTCAGACAGATGTTCGAGCAGAGTTGTAAACAGTGCCTCGTTTTTATAGTTTTGCGTGTTATTTGTCAGTTTACGTTCTGTTTCCAAAAAACTCAACCGGTATAACTCAATTTTCATTATGCCTGATATGGTTTATGTGAGCTTTCAGCTTTAGTTTAATTCTGCAATTGCAGTAACGATGTGATTAACTACGCTAAAATGACTGAATTAGATATCAGTGGTCCACCTGTGAGCGGCAGGGGGTTAGATAATTTTTTAATAAAAATGATGGTTTATAAATTTTAAAAGTGAAAAATTTTTCAATAGTAAAGTACGATATAGGGAGCATTTTTTAAGGTGTAGGGCGTAGCACAAGTTTAAGTAGAAACATATTGTAGGTATGTTACATACTGACATGACAGACTGAAGCGGCACCCTGTATTGTATATATTGAATTGTAAAATAATGCTGCCCGCTTGATATTTATTTTACTTTCTACAGTTCTATAGGAACTTTACTTTCTATTTGTGTGCCTCACTGAATGAACTGATGGCTCTACATCATCATCATTACGTTGCCAAGGGCTTAAAATCTGACAAATCATGGGGCTTTTGTACTTAGTAAAATTGTTGGCTTTTTCTGGCTTTTTTATGTCTTGATTTGGCTTTTTTTGATCGCTGGGGTCTGGCAACCCTGCGTACGGTAGCAATACGATGCAGCATTTTGTTCAAAATTAAGTAAACTGTTCCTAATGAATTTAAATGTAAATGTTGCAAAAAAGTTGTTTTCTGTCATCGTAAGTCGTAGTCTAGCGGTTCTTCAGGAGGAATGATCAGGTTTTGTGTCGTCGTATTACGATGTTGAATATTACCAAATGACTGTTAATCATTATTCAACGTGATACGCGCGTTGTCAACTTGGCATTTTCGTATATCCGACCTGGTAGTTGGAATCTCATTCGTGTATTCGCACATACCGTTTTTCCCCGAAAATAAGACCAAGCCTGAAAATAACACCTAGCCGAAATTTTAAAAGTGATTTTTATTTTATAAGTTTTTCCCTTAAAATAAGACCCAGTCGATAGCACGCATTTTTTTTTTGATGTTTTAAATGATTAATCTGAAACGTGTGATAGAGGAAAGGCTTCAATGGTCTTAATAATCTCTGCCTAGCAGTTTTTTTTTAAATGAAAAACTTGTTATTTATAAGTAAATGGATATCGGAAAAACGATGTATGGTTTTGAGTTTTTTGTGACACCGTCGACACTGAACTGAATCAAGAACGAATAAATTCAATTCTTCAACTGTTTGCAGATCTTGTTGTGGTGCTTTGACAGTATAGGCTACAAATCAGTATATAGTAGGTAACTCATTGTACGGCTATTCTGGGACTAAAATGTTGTGCGGGCGGACAGCAAGAAAATATGTAATAATCACATTGATAGTAGCAAGTTTTGTTACAATTTATTTCCATTGGATTTCCTTAATGAAGATTCACAGAGATATTTCCGTTTCTGCTTCGTCGGTCATTCCAGACGTTTCTGGAAAAAACAGCAAGCAAAATGCGTCGATCCAATATACAGATGTGCTGAAACCCGATCAAATGAATCAATATGACCCGGAAAAAATATTGGGAATCATAGACGCACCAGATCTTATCAGAGAAACGGATGAACTTCGGCCACTAGCAAACTATATTTTGCAACCTCGGAATATATTAATTGATGATATTCAATTTCCTGCAGCTGAGAAATGTAAGTTTTATTGCTGTTATTGATAATTTCATTATGAATATAAATAGTATATTCAGTATATTCTATATTCAGTCCATTTCTTCGTTATATAGCATGATGGGTGGGCATGGTTTTTGGACCAGGGGCCAAAAACTTGCCCACCTAGACTGGCGGGCCATGTGAGTGTGACGTAAAAAGTTACATTTCAGGAACAATATTTACAGTGTTACAAAACAGATGTGGAAAACAATAAGCCTCGTTCCAAAACTAAATTTAATCGCAATCTTAACAAATTCTTTAGCTAAAATATCAAAATTTGGTTTTAGTTTGGTTGTGGCAACATCAAGCGGGCCATATTGAATTACCCATCGGGCCGAATCTGGCCCGCGGTCCGTAGTTTGCCCATGTCGGTTATATGGCATCAGTTCTCGCAAACATATCATTAATTCCCTAATCCCCATAACTTTTATTTACGTTAAACTAAGCCATAATTTAGCCACTATATCACACTCAATTTCAGGGAATACTGATTATACGGTAACCTATGTTGCCTAATGGCAAATAATTTGCAAAATTTGTCGGTATTCTGGGATTCTGCATGATCACAATTTCGTAATGTATGCTGAATTAATTGATCTGTGTGCACCAGTTTATACACCATTCTGTTTTCAAACTCGCAGTTTATATTTGTTTTTAAATGCAAAGCCAATATAAACTATATCACACGTTTTTTCCATGCAGCATCCCTAACAATTGCCTGACATATGTGACGTCACATGTGGGCTCCGATAGATAATATAGCAAGACGGTAAAATGAGTGCGAGAATAAACTGTTATGCCAGATGTTAGGATTGAATACTGAATAGGTTGAAATCATGCGACAAGCAGAAATATCAGCAATCCCTCAAAAAGTGTTTTCAATTTATGCTCATCGTGTACTGGGTACTGGGACAATTTCATTTCGTTCTTAAAATTTCCACTGATCGTTCACGGACCCACAAGTCCCACATAGAACTATTTCTCCGACTTCTTGGGGGTTCGCGGACCCCAGTTTCAGAGTCCCTGCCTCATGCAATATATATACCAGCAAACGAGAGATCTCAAAATGTAAAGTGTAATATTTCTGAAATTTTGACGGCGCAGCAAGATATTTTATGATAAATAGAGCTTTGCCTTGAATAACACAATCTAAACTCGAGAACGGCTGCGAAAAATATGGCCCAGTTTTTCGTGACGGCTAGAACGTGCTCTCGCAACCTACTGAATCACACACTGGTTATAAGCCGGAGTGCTTCAACGCTCACATTGACCCACGTTTACTGGTGTTTCTGACACAGATAAAATTCTAAATACGTATAGAAGCTTTTCGTACTCATTTAAATGGGGGAATTTATACGCGGGCGTCTTATCTAATCCGGAATATCATGTCATATTACTGCAGACATAACGCCGAAATTGATTACATACAAGCGAAACACATCATTGAGCTCCTACGTGGTAATGGAACAGTAATACTTTGAACTAAAATTATATCAGCTTTGGACCTCCTGAAGTATGCGCACCAAGATGTCGCACAACCTGAACCTTAACCTGGTACACAACCAGACTTCAGGTTGTTCGCCATCTTGGTGCGCATACTTCATGAGTACATAAACTTTTTCTACCGTGTTTCCTCAAAAATAAAACTGAGTCTTATTTCAAATTTCTGTCGAAAAATAACACTAGGGCTTATTTTCATGGTAGGTCGTATATTTCGATTTATCAAAAACAAAATACAAAGTAGATTTTCAAATAAACAAAATATGAAAAACAATATCCATTAACTTATAAATAACACGTTTTATTCAAAATAACTGCAAATTAGATTATTAATCATTTAAAACGTGCGGGAGAGATTTCTTGCTATCGCTTAGGTAAAAAAAAATCGCGTTGTTGACTACGTCTTATTTTAAAAGGTGGGCTTATATTAAAATCATTTTCCAAAATTCAGGCTAGGTCTTATTTTTGGGTGAACACGGTACTTGAAATACCAAATTCGTATTGAATACACGAATCGGATATGTCAAACAACATGCCATAGTGTTTGTCATCAGCGATTCGGTTTTATTGTCATAAATATTTAATTTTGGATAGAGATTGCAACAGTCGTATTTACTCGTATATCATAAAAAAGGCATTTAAAAAGTATCCCATATGACATATCAGTTTGAATAGGCTGCTGCTGTTAGTCGTAGCAATACGAGAAAGCACTTTTAAAATTAATTAAGTAAGCTACTCCTAATATATTAAAGTGTGTTGTCGTTCAGAAAAGTTGTTTTCTGTCATCATAAGTCATAGTCTAGCAATTAGATAGCAGGAATAGACAAGATTTGTCTCGCTTTGATTTCATAGGCAAGCCTTTTCACGATGGCAGTTATGTTAGTAAGAACAGCAAATCTGTTAATTATAAATCAAAGACATAAGCGTGTTGATAGTTCATGCGGACTAATGTAGACTTGTATAACCACCTGCGGGTAAAATGACATTTTTTGCATTCGCCTGTGGTATATTTTCATTGGTGCATCTACGTGTGCGCCGTTATCGCGCATTGCCAAGGTTTATGCGATGCCATCGGCACTGAACTAAATTACTATTTGCAGGACTTGTTACGCTACTTCGGCACTAAAGTGCTTTAGCTAGTTTTAGCCTAAGGTTATCATTGAAATAACATGTGGAGTAGGCAGACAACAATAAAATATGTAATATTATCAATGATAATAGCAAGTTTCGTTACAATTTATCTACAATGGATTTCGTCAATGAATATTATCCACAGTGGATTTGCTGTTTCGGCTACGTTGGGAAACGAGGCTATTTCTGAAAACAACAGCACACAAAATGCGTCGATCCAATCTACAATTAGGCAGAAAAGCGGGCAGGAAAGCGATCGAATTAATAAGTATGACTTGAAAAAGGTATTGCGAGTCCTGAACTCTTCAGTGCTTATGAAGGACGGTGAGGAACTTCGGCCACTGACAAACTATATTTTGCAACCCAGTAACTTAATTTCTGGTATTAAAAATACTACAACTGAAAAATGTAAGTGTTATTTATTGCTGTTATCTAATTTTGCATAGTAGAATCAAAAAATTGTTTTTATATATTGCAATAATTTAAATCGCATACCACACTGTACGCGTTTTGTTACTTATGCAATACACAGGTCGTAGTGCTAAGTATATTTTAAAAAGACGTTTTGATCAATAAAATGCATCGTACTAATCCTTTCCGTGATTAGGCAAAGTTGACTTGGCACTGCATGTGTCATGCGATTCATAAACGCCATTTTAGCATTCTTTTGTCTTATTAAACGTGCTAAGTGTTTCGGTCAAGTTTAAACTTGGTGTCACTTTCATGACATGTTCGGAACTAGCATAGCAAGTTTGTTTAAACATTAGTGTCAAAGCAATGTCGCACACAAGAGCGAAGGAGACTCATTTCGGAGAAAAGTCGCTTACGGCGTCTGAAACGACAAAACCTACTGAAACCAAATAGAATTATCGTAATGCACAAGTGCAATTAAATGCGGGTTGACTTAATATGATCAGTAAAAAGCTACGCGGCGAATACTTTTGACATAAAATTTTATTTTCCAAGTTTTGGACACATGAAAAATACGACTCGTTGGGCCTGAATCGCCGATATAGCCATACATTGCTGTCCTTAAAAAATTGTATGCTCACGATTGCTATCTTGGGTGATTGATATTTATTTGACATGTTGGCTGACTTCACACTTGTACGTGATTTACTATTATGCAGCGATTAAAAATCAATCACGCCCGATTGTTTACGTGCCTTCGCCATGAGTGGCCATTTTTGGATTCTAGAAGTCTACACGAGGCCGAGTAAAGATCGAAATTGAAAAGTTTCGCATTCGATTTATCTCATAAGTCATAACACTTTCGCAAACCGAAATGTGCTTCCCTTGCTGACGTTTCTCGCTTCAGCAAGTTGATTAATAGTTTGCGTGCCAAAGCTACATACAGTACTTCGGCAAAAAAGTTATTTAAATTGTATCGTCTTCTTTGTCACAATTCACTGCAAGAGTTGGACTTGATCGATCACCAATGTGACGTGTATTGAAAGAGAAATTAAATTCCATGAAACAGAAAGACTTCTAGGCATCACTTTAAAGTGTCAAGTTTCAATAGAAGTGTCAATTTTCTCTCGGTGTTACTTGACTCCACATACTTTTGTGAACAAAGGTTGAGATTACAAATTGACCGATACTCATCTTCAATCTGTTCCGGAAGCATGATGAATACCAGATTTTGATACTTCAGTCAAAACATAGCCTTCTTGTTGAAATGAATCCCAATTTTTGGTACAAGTCATATTGTTTTTCATAATTCATACTTTGTACTCGGGTGAAATATTGTAAATAATTGTGTTCATAAACTGCGATACTTCTTTTCTACGTACATATTTGAAAGTTGGATATGAAAATGATAAATCTCCGAGACTTTCTAGCCTGACCTTTCGGAGTCGTGAAATAGCCAGGTTATATTGTATAAGACGTTTGCATTTTTTCCCCGTGTTCGAAAAATTTGCCCGTTCTAGAGCGTGCACTGGCTTTGACCAGATGAAAGCCGACACTCAACTGATTGCGGCGTGTACACTCTCCGCCCGACAGATGCATATTGCGTGGAAATTTCTCGTTATCGTCTTTTTATTTGCCTCCTTCGTTGGGTTGCTATGTAGATAGCAGGTTAAATTCTTAGGGCACCCGTGCGAAATGTGTAATGTCAATCAAGTGCGATCATTTATGTATTTAAACGATTTCAGATATCTTTGGCCAGAATGAATATGGTTGATAAATGTGGAGAGAAAAAACGTTCGTGGTGATAGTGGTAAAAGTATAAGATTGCAAATACAAGACAACGACAGTTAGTCAGTTACCTGTTACTTCGTTAGGGCAGTTGCAAGCCGATATTATATTGAAACAAATTAAGGGAATTTAAGTTCACGCCTCCATAAACAGCCGTTATGTTTATAGAATAGACCTATAGAGTACAGGGTGGAGTATAATTCCAGATGCTTATTTTAAATTGTCGTGTTTGCATCGATTTCCCATCCGAATTTGTTGGTGTTGATGGCCCAATGTTCAATATCGCCAAGTCCCAATCAGTGACAAAAATTTTGATGTCATGCATGTTGCTCTCTGGTCATCTGTTGAAAAACTTTGATCGGTGAATACTAAGAACCTATAAACTACTTTGTAGTCGAGTGAACCTATCTGCAGATATGGAACAAAGAGATGTTTTTCTCAGCCCCCAACCTATTTCTGGGTTGAATCTCGAAGTTTTAATTTTATGAAATATTATACTATCAAACTGCAATTTTAAAGTCGCTCGGAATCAGTGGGAGTCGTGAGATTCCATATCCTAACAAATATCGAATAGCAACGAATATTTTTTTTGTCCCCACCTAGAGTGGAATGTAATACAGTATCCCTCCTCGCATAACACATTTACTTCCGTTAGTTATATGCTTTTCAATATTTTTTCAAGCGGTTCACGAGCATATGATTTCATCATATAAATTCAAATACTGATTAAATGTTTTATATGCTCTTAGGGCGGGGGCTGAATCAGTGGATCAGCTATAGATCTTTCAAACCAGTGGAACTTTTGTATCCCATTTTAGTCGTTAGTTATCTTATTTTCATTATTTTTCCAAAACTCTCATTTAATCTTTAGATCGGTGGTCGGCAATCAATGTCGTGAAGTCTGCGGTTAGAAATAAATACAGAAGAATGGCAGTTCGTGATACTTGGGGGGAAATTGAGGAATTGAATGGAACTCGAATCAAAACAGTATTTATTCTTGGAACAACAAAAAATCAGACTGTACAATCGTATATTGTCAAAGAGAGTGAAAAATATGGGGATATACTGCAGATCGACATCCCGGATGATTATGAGTAAGAGCATCATTTCTTATGTAACCAAATCTATGCATCTAAAACAGGGTCAGCAACCTACTACGGCCGGCGGTACGGATCCGGCCCGCGGAGCAATATAATCCGGCCCGCGACGCTTCACACTGAATTATAGTAACAAAACAGCTGTTTTGGCAATTATATTCTTTACGTAATAGAATTTATTGTAAGACACATGTGTACTGAATTATATATTAACCCAATAAGTATATAATTCACAATTACTCGTTTATTGAGCCTATAATTTAAATGTAATTAGACAAATGGCAACAAAACGTAGAAAAGTTGCTTCTAAGTGCAAAGAGTTCAATCGCGCCGAAAATATTCAAATGGCATTTTTTGAGATGCAATGCAATGAGGAAATAAATCTATATTTTATTCGAGAGATGTATCACTGTTTTGATTTTTAGTATAAAAAGTATCATCCGTTCGGTTTTCAACTTTCTACCAACCCTTAATTTTGGCTCGCGGACAACAAAAGGTTGCCGACCCCTGATCTAAAAACAAATAACTGGTTAACTAATCCATACTGGTAAAACCGGACGACAGACCGTAGTACGCCGTATGATCAATGCGGCCTCGGGATAAATATAAAAATGCCATTCTCCTAACAGCTAATATTTTTATATGAACAAATTAACTGAATTAAATTCACATGTTATCACTGAAATATGGGCGCTATAAATTGCATAGAAGGATAGTATTGCGTTTTAGAGATTCCCGATAAACATACGATGATACTTATTATTAGAACCAATAGCCTACGTACTCGTTTTAAGAGTAGGCAATGAAGCATAAAGCACTATTTGATCCATACATTAGGCGCATCGGATTCAAATACGCATGATGGATTTTGAGCAAACATGGATTTAAATTATAAAAGTGCGTATTATGATCCGTAAAATACGGTACTTTAACGCGCATACTGTTAAATAGATGATGAATATTTTTCTCTTAAGCTAATCTTATGCTTATTTCAATCCTAGGCACGTTCCGGATAAAGTCTTAGCTGGAATGCAGTGGGTATCCGAGTCACTTCCGGGACATTGGATTTATTCGTCGGCTGATGATGATATCGCACTGCATGTACATAATTTCGTTGGATTCATCTACGACACAATGAAAAACAATACCAATGAGACTACTGACAATCTTCAACCCCAAAAACTTCCAATAATTTGCATTTATAGCTTTAATCGCAAGGATAAACCAGCGAGAGATAAGGAAAGTAAATGGTACATGCCAAAGGAAACGTATCCTCCATCGACGTGGCCGCCTTATTGCCGAGGAGGATGGTACACAATGCCAGTAGACACGGCTAAAAAACTTCACTCCGTTTCTCGGAGAGCACGTTCACTGTATCTGGACGATGTATGGATAACTGGGATTTTGAGAATCAAAATGCTCATTGTATATTCGAACTTAGAAGAAAAATCCTTAATAGATGCTGGAATTACCGATGCTCCTCTAGCACTTCGCAATAATGCGGATTTAATTTATGGCAAAGGCGAAGATAATCTTGACAAAGTACTCGTCAGTCATGTATGGGGAAATATAAAAAAAAAACAAGTAAATGTAGCTAATAGACTTAGAAATATATGGATCGCTTGGACCAAAAAACAGCCATTATTACTGGTAAAGAACCCGAAAACTCAGAACATTAAAATTGACAATCAGAAAGGAGACGAGTAGATTGCAAGTCTTTAGATTCGAAAATTTATTGTTTTCAATGGTGTTGAAGCCGGACGCAAAATTTTGATTTTGCCGTAGTCGGGATTTCAACATTTTGCTGGTCACAATTGAAGTTCAAATTTTGACAGAACTCCAAAAGGCTTCAAATGTACTGAGCATTTTCAACAGACAAACAAACTTGCATTCCTCAAAGTTTTTGCTTTGATTTTTTTGGGGTCGGAGTCAAAATTTTTTCAATCGCGCGAGAGCTTGAACCTCTTTTTGCGTGACTTGGAGTCGGTAAATTTTACCCGATTCCACAACATGCGGAATAGGATACCACACTTCTCTCAGGAAAAGGTTTCAAAGACGTCTAGAGTTCAGAGATTTCAGTGTGAAATCGAAATTGATTCTTTTAGGAAAAAATTCAAGTCGTATGACTAATATTCTAATTTTTGATCAAATTGGCCAATTTTGAAGTGGAATATGCATTATTGTTTCGCTATGCTTTTTGTAAAACTATAGAATCGGGTTGTTAGGTTTGAAATATATTTATTCAAAGCAAGGTGCCTTTGATTAGATAATAATATTTATAAATAGTGGTGACGTAGTCACGCTTTTCATTTCACTATTTTAGATATAATTGAGCATCATTCCACTGTCTAATAATTAGATATTTTATGTTTAATAGTTTTCAACTCTATGCTCAGCGAGAGACTTTCTCCTTAAACTGTTTTTTAGTTCATTTTGTTTCAGCGTTTAGCACCTTTTTTATTGTACCTCTGGAATATTACCTTCTTTATTAATTTTCACTAAAATTATTCGTTAATGTGAGATAAAAAGGAAAATATAAAACATTGATATGTTTTATTAGACCAGCGGTTTTCAATACATCATTCTGCCTATTCGAAATTCTTGATGAGAACTTCTGAACGAATACTCAGAGATATTTTTACGTCGCTATGAATAAACTGTTTCTTCCGTTTGTTATTCAATCTAGAATGAATATTGAGCTAGTCTTGTGTGCAATTCGTTTTTTCTACAGTCCAGGCTTTACAGAAACCTAGCTTAACTGTTCACGGCTATGTGTCCCATAGACATTTTGGTATAGTGTTGATAACGGACAACGGTGTTCAAAGACTCTGAAGAAAATAGTTTAGCTATTAGAAAAAGTATTCCGGTGATATGAATTACTCATTTCCTTGTCATTATAAAACTATGTTTCACCCAAACACTGTGTAAAAATCTTCCACCCCTTGAGAAGTTGAACGTTAAAATTCTCCCATCCGAGTGATTTCATCCCAGTTGGGAAACCCTGTATTATACTTTCTACTGGCTGGATATTTTACTGAACGGAGAGAGGCGACATCTCATAAGATTGTGTGTGTGTCAGTGAATATTAGAAAAACGCAAATATTGGGATCCGCAGGACTCATAAAACACACAGACTGTAACAATTTAGCAAAATGAACCACATTTTCAACTTGGCGCAATAAAGCTAGAAATATGGATCATTTCATCTTATCGTATATTCATACTATATACGCAAACTTAGATTCTTAATGTTATTATATCAATGACAACATATTCAGAATTAATTGGATTCTGGATCCTTTGCCCTTGTTCCATACTGATGACCCTTACAATATTTGACAAACATTATCAGTGCTGATTGCCACCAGGTAAACTCATGTTGATAATAAATGAAGCACAACCGGTGTTAGCAAAACGATGTAATTTGCCGACGTTTCGAATTTCTATACAGAAAAACTTCATCAGGGCATGATATGGAAAGGACACAAGTGGATTTATATAGAGCAAGAAAATAGGAAAAAATTATCATGGCGTCAACTCTAATCTAAAAGGGTGATGTTAAGATAATATGTATAAATAAACAAATTAGCGCCAGTTCAAACAAAAAGGGGAATATTTAAACAATGATTTATACACAGGCGGGAAAAGTGTGGTTTCTTTGTCTTTCATCGAATTCTTCTCTTTATTTATGTGATAAGGTTCGAGAAATAGTCTTCTCTTGTATTGAGTTTCTTTTTCTAGTATCCTGCTGTTTTCCCAGTCGATGCTATGGTTATTAGAAAGGGCGTGTTTCGAAAGGGCCGACTTGTCAATTTTCTTTTGTTTAATATCTCGTAGATGTTCCTTGCTGCGAGTTTCCAGGCTTCTTTTGGTTTCTCTAATGTAGACTGAAGAACAGTCGCTGCATGGGATTGCATATACAACTCCGTTTTTTTGTTTAGGTAGGGTGACCATACGTCCTCCTTTTGGAGGATTTTTCCTCCATTTACGCTTAAATTTTTCTGTCCTCCGAGGACGCTCTAAAACGTCAAAATGTCCTCTAGGCCGCGAGCCGAGGCCCTGAAAAACGCCTAGAAAGTGAGTTTCGTAGCGCACATCAGGTAACTACCTAAAAATGATTTTAAAATGTTCCTTAAAAATTTAGTAATAAATATTGCCTTGTTCCCACTTCCAAGAGTTGCACGTTTTACGGAAAAGACGCTTTTACTACAAGAAATATGTGCTACGATCTGTCCTATATTCTCTACATTTCCGGCAATGAACAATGACTTCTGCATGACGTAACAATTGAATCGAATCAGCTGTTAGCGAGCGGATGAATCTTAGTTATTACTGCTTGATCTTGCGTTGAGTTGGGTAGCCTTTCCATAGCCATGTTTAGGTATTATTAGTTAAGTTATGCTAAGACGTTATTAAAAAGTATAAGTAAGTTATTAAACACTTGTAGATCCTTACCACGAATATGGGCCGTGAGTAGGCTTGCACGTAATTGACAAAAATCAATTCCGTAATTACGGCAAAATCAATTACGTAATGACCCCGTAATCGCGATATTTTTCCACGCATTTAAACCTATCGTAACAACCAATTGAATCCACTTTTTTTCCGAATGGGACATTGAAGTTGGGTTTTCCTATTCTTGGCAGTACTACACGCCGGCGGCAGATGTTAAAGACAACTATCAAGGAGTGAATTCAAATTAATTTTATTCTGATTTTTATCTTTTGTGTTAGCTTTGGTTTTTCTTTATCACCTTCGCAAATTAACCGTCCCATTTTTATGCGATCAATTTTATTTTATCATTACCGACACTGGTATACGGATATTTATGGAAACGATAGTTTTTTAAAACCACCTGAGTACTGAATAAAAATTACGGGTTTTTAATTTATTAACCAACGACGTGCGTATTTTTTCATTTAATTATACTTGCGATTTCCTCGCGACGAAGACTTGTTTTTGCAGCGTTTTCCGCATTATCCGACATTACTGCCTTGTTAGCATTTTTATAATAATAATTATTGATGTCGACTTATTGACGATATTCCTATTACCATGCTTCATTTTACATTCAATCATTTCGCGGACTGAATGTATGTAACATTATTTGCGATAAATTTAGATCAAATATTATTTATTTGCGTATAATTTAAATACCGAACTTATATGACATGCCTTCTCCGAAAATACAAAGTTATATCGCAAAACAATGCATTTTGTGACATTTATTTTACACTCACAAAATTTATTTGCTAACTCAAGTCGGCGATCCTATCGGCCAAGATTGACAAAAGTTTGGTCGAGTGCCGGTGGTATTCAAGTCGACGATAAATCAAAATAAGTTGCCGCATTTGGTAAGACAGTTAATCATATATGGCCGAAATATTGAGAGGAATTGTGGAAAACATCATGAGCAAGGCCAAGTCCGGACTGATATATAACGATAAAACCGTTAACAGAACATCAAGATTTTGTAATAGAAAATGGATCTCGCACAGAATAAACACACAGGCTCATATTTGATTATATATGATAGCAGTTAAATTTTCAACGGTCCGCGAGGAATCCGTCGTTTTGGTTCATTACGCAATCTCTCTTTTGTCGTCATATTGCTATTTGATAAGCGCGACATTAATTATCACGGCGAGGTATTGGCGCGAGTGATCAATCGCTCTTTTCGCTTATTTGGTTCCAATTCGTCGCGAAAGCTCTTCGTTAAATTTCACAAGATAGTCGTGTTGAAAGGTTATGGATATTTTCCTGTTTATACCCCAAGTCTGAAATGAAACAGCCAAAAACAATATGATATTCCATGTTCATATATCAAGTGTTGATATTAACAATAAAGAATGGTTAAGCATTGCTAATCCACACTTGGTGGGGAATTCCCACTATTCAAACTGCGTGACTATAAAATAGAAACGGAACATATATACCATAAGTAACGGAAAACTGGAACAAGTAAATAATAAATAAAAGTAAAATGGATACAAATGTTTGATAGACAATGTTTGATAGATTGATCTCCTGCGTTCATTAGTCATTTCACCCGAAGAAGTTGAAACCGGGCGTGTTAGCGTCCATCTGTCTTAACACAATTCTTCCCCCTATCTACGGTTATTATGTACATTGGCCATACCCATGCTAGATAAGATGCGAGAGAAGTTGAAACCAGGTGTGTTGGCGTCAATCGGTCTCAACGCAATTCTATCCCTTATCTACGGTTAAGTTGCGGAGAAGTTAAAACCAGGTGTGTTGGCGTCAAACGGCCCTACTCAGTTCTTCCCCCATTAACTACGTTAATAATTTACATTGGTCACGCCAGATAAGTTGATAATAGTTTAGTAAATGGCAACGCGTCATGCCTTCCTTCACCTACGTAACAAGAGAGAGAAAAACGGCTGCGAATACCGGAACTCTAACTTCTTCTACTTGTTGAGCTTTCATTTTCGCAATCGACTGCTTTGAAGAAAGCTCGTTTCAATGCAATAATTACTACTTTACGTAATTCGTAACTTCCCTTCCGTAACTCCAAATAATTACGTAATTCCGTAAATCCGTAAATTACGTGCAAGCCTAGCCGTGAGACGAAGCCTTGAAAACGCCCAGAAAATGAGTTTCGTAGCGCACATCTGGTAACTAAATAAATTCTTCAGTTTTGTGTGAAAATGAACATACTGAACGCATTACAGCTTGTTCCACAATCCTGATGCAAAATTGAATATAAGAGGTTCCCAGAAATTCAATAACCATAAGTTTACAACACATACATAAGAACTATGCAATTCGAGAGCCCTACAGCACACTAACACAAATGTATTCCTGTAACGTTTTGCCTGACCAAAATCAGACTTCTCCAGTCAATCATAATTCATTAGGTAGATTACGGAAAATATGGCATACATGTAACCAACAACAAAAATACTTTAATTGTGTGACAGGAGTCGCGAGTGACCTCGAAAGGTCGAATAACCACAAGCAGTTTACAACAAGAACAGCATAAAAATCTACATCCATTTTATAGAAGCTATCAAACGTATTCATTTTTAAGCAATGAAGTCACAGATTAACATCGTGAGTACGAAAACACAACTAAATTAGTTATTTCTCACTTAGAAATTTACCGGAAAAGTCAAGAAAATTAGATGAATGTACATAACATAGTGAACAGAAACATTACAATTAGTCTTTTTTTAGTTTATGTGGTTATGTATTTGAACAAAGGCAATATTATTTCTAGGAACAGGACTACGACACTAACAAATGTCCAAAAAAACAAACAAATAAATGATACTTATTAAATCAACTGCAATATCTAATTCACTTTCTCCTGAATTGTTTACAAAATCCACTATCTCGAAAATCGAATTTTCCTCTATAAGTGTACTGTGAATTTTGCAGTCAATACAAAAACAAAAATCTGTGCAATTTAAGTTGATTTTGCCACACTTGCATAAATTATTTTGACTATTTTTCTTACACTTGCAGTTTGCCAACTCAAAAACTGATTTGAGAGCCACATGCTTCTTCAGTGAATCATTGTTGGGTGAAGAGTATAATCCTTATGTTTGCCAGTGTTAAATAGACGTGCCCTGGTATCATGCACATTCTTCATATCCTCTTCATACAGTGAACAAACAAATTCCTCAGCTTTATTTATTAATGCAACACGTTAA